GTAGAGCTAAATCAAGAAACCAATTGAACAGGATATAGAACTTTAAAATAAATGCATGCATATACAAAGACTTAATAAATAACAGAGATGCCATTAAAGATCCCTGGAGAAAAGAAGGTCTATCTAATTAATGATCTGAGGCATCATTATGGTTATGGTTATACATATAGAAAAAAGTGAAATTGGAAGCCCTACCTCACACCATCAAGTAAAATCATTTCTAGATCAATTTAGACTTAAATGTGGAAGCCAAAACTTTTAAACCTTTAGGAAAAAAAAATGCAGGGGAATATCTTCATTACTTCAAGTAGGAAAAAGTTTCTTACATAAGAAACAAAACATGCTAACCATAAAATAAAAGATGGATAAATTCACATGCCTTAAGATTAAGAGTATCTGTTCACCAAAAGATACCTGACAGAAAAAAGCTAAGCTACAAACTAGAAGATATTTATAATATACATCCAAGAGATGTAAGGAATCACAAATTAATTAAAAAAAAAAAAAAAAAAAAAAAAAAAAAAAAAAAAAAAAAAAAGACAACCTAATAGAAAACGAAAGGGTAAAGGCATGGCCAGTCATTTCACAGAAAAGAAAACATAAATCCCAGCATGAATCTAAAAGATGTTTAACTTCATTGGTAATCAGGGAAATTCAAATTAAGACCATAGTGAAATACCATTTTATACCTACTTATGTGACAAAAATTAAATTTGACAATGGCAAAAAAATATGAAATCTGACAAGATTTATTAAAGACTCTGTATCTGAAACTGTTGATGAAAATATAAATTATTAAAACACTTCAGAAAATAACTTACATTATCATGTGAGGGTGAATATTTGTATGGCCTGTGAACCTGTAGGGAAACTCTTACTCATGTAAGAGATATGCACAAGAGGGTAACTGTCAGTGCTGTTTATAATCTAGATTTGGTGTGTTTTATCAACCGGCCTAGACTCTACAAAAATAATAAATATAATATTTGATATATATAAATATGATAAGTTCATTGACGTATGAAAGTTTTATCTTTTTTTTATTTTTAAAAAAAGAATTTTTTTTTTTAACGTTTATTTATTTTTGAGACAGAGAGAGGCAGAGCATGAACGGGGGAGGGTCAGAGAGAGAGGGAGACACAGAATCGGAAGCAGGCTCCAGGCTCTGGGCCATCATCAGCCCAGAGCCCGACACAGGGCTCGAACTCACGGACCGTGAGATCGTGACCTGAGCTAAAGTCGGACGCTTAACCGACTGAGCCACCCAGGTACCCCGACGTATGAAAGTTTTAAAAGGCCAGGAGATGTTCTAGATTTAAAGAGTAAAGAGACATGATAAAGAGATATGATTTTAATTGAATTCTAGATTAAAATAGAAGAGCTATAGAGAGGGGTGCCTGGGTGGCTCAGGGTCAAGTATCCCGACTTCGGCTCAAATCATCATCTCACAGTTCATGAGTTTGAGCCCCACGTCAGGCTCTGGGCTGACAGCTCAAAGTCTGGAGCCTACTTCGGATTCTGTGTCTCCCTCTCTCTCTGCCCTCCCCTGCTCATGCTCTGTCTCTGTCTCTCTCTCTCTCTCTCTCAAAAATAAACATTTAAAAAAATTTTTTAAAAAAGAACTATAGCGAGGAAAAAAGAAGAGAGTGGAAAATTTGAACATGGACTGTATATTAGATTAATATTTTGTCAATGTCAGATTTCTTAGGTGGGATTATAGTATTGAGGTTATGTAAAAGAATATCCATGTTCTTAGGAAATACATGCTGATGTTTTTAAGGGTGAAATGTTATGTCTGCACTTTACTTTTTTTTTTTTTTCCAATATATGAAATTTATTGTCAAATTGGTTTCCATACAACACCCAGTGCTCATCCTGCACTTTACTTTTATATGGTTCAGTAAAAGGAAAACAATGTATATGTCTATGCAGAGAGAGACAAGAAGCTGGTGGAGGAAATGTTAACAATTCATAAAGGGTATTTGGGGTGCTCATTATAATTTTGTCAATTTTGCTCTAAGTTTGACATTTTTCTTTTCTTTTTTTTAAGTTTGACATTCCTCAAAATTAAAAGTGGGAGAGAAAGCCAGTAACACTAAACAATATATCATTAAAGGATGCATATACATGTGACAAAACTATATAATAAAAAGGAAAGCAAAATACAAACAAAATTCAAAGTAGTGAAAGGTCCACATAGGTCATTCAGTGTGTTGGTAGTGCTCTGATTTCTGCGATGGACTCATGAGTGCTTATTTATTTTTACTGTGCTTTGTGACTTACATATGAGACATATTCTTTTGTGTATATCCAAGGAAAAGAAGAGAGAGGTTAAATTGAATTACCTGAGTTATGCAATAGCTATGGGATAGTAGAAGGAAAACACTTGATTTGGTCTGACCCAGTAATTCCGAGACTTATTTGACCAAGGAAACTCTTCATAGAACACACCTGAAAGTACAGTTGGTCTCAGAGTCCTTTTGGGAAATGATGCTTGAATTTTAAAAGTTAGCATGCTGATAAAAGTAAGCTTTATTTCACAGAGATATAAGTATAAATACTGTTTGTCTGGTTAGATTAATGAAGACATTTCAACCTTGGTTTTAGGAAGAATTACCTTTTTTATTTGACCACTTCTATCCCCCACCCCACCCTAGAGTTTTATGGAATGCTTGGTTACTAGAAGTTGTCTCCAAACTCTGATTTTTTTATTCAACTGGACCATTTATACAGACAGTCTTTGAAACGAAACCCAAAATAACCTAGAGCCGTATATGTGCACTCCTGTTCAGACAAGACTGATACTAGTGTATTGTTGAGAACAGACTAGATGTTGCTGCAGCAACAAACCACTCTACAACCGTAACAAAACAGAAGTTTATTTCTCACTTAGAGCTACATGTTGTGGGTGGGTTGGCAAGAGGTTTTACTCTATGCAGTCATTTGGAGATCCCTCCTTGTTGGAATTTATACCACCTTCCAGTTGTACCAGCCTCTGTAGTCTCAGCATCAGGTTAAGTCAGAGACTAGAGAATTACCCTGAGAAATTCAGCTGGGAGTGACCCACATCACATCTAGCCATGTTACGTTGGCCAGAACTAGTCATGTGGTTCTAACTGGTGGGGACTCAGGAAATGCAGAGGAGCTCTCCATCTCTGCCATAGATAATAATATTAAGACTAAATTTGAATGTGGCAATCTTGGCAAAAAGATACAGGTTCACATAACTGCTTGTTTGGAGTTGAGGTTTTATCTTTAGACTCTATCTTAGATGTTAAAAATCACATATAAACAATTTAGTGTCACTTATTTTTTGGTATTCTATGCAAGTGTTTTTCCCTTCAGGTTGAATATAGATAATTGAGATGTAGTGCATAAATAAATCAGCAAAAGCAGCTAAAGGGAGAATTAATGACATAAAATTAATCTATACATTAATATTCCTTGGTTTCTCTCTTTTTAATGACAGCATGGAAACATTCCTTTTGAAGACAAGATTTCATCAGTTAAAGTGGTAGGTTAATGTAACAGTAAGCTAAATGTTATGTTGAAACTATATTCATTGGTTAATTTATTTGTAGATCAGCTAATGCTTTGTAGGTATTAAATATATTTCAGTGTATTTAGAGTAGATAAGAATGGTAAAATGATTGGTAAATGTTTGTATGCACAGTTTTGTGTAATGAAATGGAAAATTTGGTCTCTCAGATTTTTTAATCCAGAAAATAATAATCTTGTATGTTAATTTGAAGCCAGTATGTGTTCAGGATTAATATCCATAAAAGAATATCTGTGACTTTTCTGAATTCCTAGTCACAGTGACTTCTCCTAAATACTGAGAATACAGTAGGGGTCAAGACAAAAATGTCCTAGACTTAATGGATTTTGAAAGTCATTACAGTTCACTACATGCTTTAAATGTGGAATAAGGATGGTGAAAAGGAAAAAGTGGGAGGCGCCTGGGTGGCTCAGTTGGTTGAGCTTCTGACTCTTGATTTTAACTCTTTTAGCTTTTGGATTTAACTCCCAGGGTTGTGCGATTGAGCCCCAAGTCTTACTCCGTGCCGAAGGTGGAGCCTGCGTAAGATTCTCTCTTCTTTGCCCCCTCCCCTGCTCTCACTGTCTCTCCCTCTAAAAATAATAAAAAAAAAAAAAATTAAAAAAGGAAGAAGTGGGCATTAGGAATGTACAAAACAGTGAATTAAAAATAGTTTTCCTCTTTGAGAAAGATGTTTTAACTGAAGCTTCAAGGATAAGTAGGAGCGAGTCAGGCTCAGTGGAGAAGTTTTATGAGCATTGTAGGCAGAACAGTATGTGCAAAGTCCTAGAGAAAAAAGGAGCACATAGAGCATTCCAGGAGCTGAAGGAGAATCAACAGGGTACTTAAAGTGAGGGGAAAGTGGGAGGAGAAAAGGTAGAATGTCTTGGTAGAGGCCAGATCCTATATACCGCCTTAGTAGTTTTAAGGACTTTGAAATTTATTCTGAGGACAATTGAAAGTCCTTGAATATTTAAGCAAGGATGTGTGGCAAGATCAGATTTAAATTTTAAAAGATGACTGTGGAGAATAGTTTAGAGGAAAGTAGAAGTGGATACAAGAATTCCTGTGAGGCCCTTGGGAAACCGAGATGGGAGATGAAGATGTCATGGACAAGGTGTGTTTTACTTTAGGTACTCTTTTTTTTTTTTTTAATGTTTATTCATTTTTGAGACAGAGGGAGACAGAGTGCAAGGAGGGGAGGAGCAGAGAGAGAGGGAGACACAGAATCCAAGGCAGGCTCCAGGCTCCGAGCAGTCAGCACAGAGCCCAACGCGGGGCTCGAACTCACGAACTGTGAGATCATGACCTGAGCTGAAGTCGGATGCTTAACTGACTGAGCCACCCAGGCACCCCTTACTTTAGGTACTCTTGAAGAGATGGGTTCATGTTTCTTTTAGGCAGCACGAATAAGTTTCTTTGACTTTTTATTCACTGTGTTTCTTTTTTTAGGATTTTCTATGGCATCCAGAAGTTAATGGTTCTATGAAACAGTGTATCAAAGTATGGACTGAGGTCTGTATTTGAACATCTAGGTCTCTCTGGTTTTAAGCAACCAAATTTAAAAAAAAAAAAATTTTTTTTTTTTTCAACGTTTATTTATTTTTGGGACAGAGAGAGACAGAGCATGAACGGGGGAGGGGCAGAGAGAGAGGGAGACACAGAATCGGAAACAGGCTCCAGGCTCTGAGCCATCAGCCCAGAGCCCGACGTGGGGCTCGAACTCACGGACCGCGAGATCGTGACCTGGCTGAAGTTGGACGCTCAACCGACTGCGCCACCCAGGCGCCCCAAGCAACCAAATTTTAAAAGCTCATGAGCACTCCTTGTGTTTCTCCCCCTTACTTGCCTGTCCTACTCTTCTGTCTGTGCCGACTTTCTTCATAGTGACTAATTGCGCTGGATGGATCCGGTCACTTTACTGAGAAGAGGGAGTTTTGATCTAGTACCTCTGCTGCCACCACTCTAACCCTACTGTGGTTATGCTGATGCCACATTTTCCAGACAGAATTTTCTGTTACTTCTGTTGCCCAGTTAGCTCAAACCCAGGTCATCTTCATGCACAACATACATTCTCTTGAGCATGTTCCCACTTTTTCAAACTCATGCCCAGATTCTTCAGGAAACTTTTGTTGTTGTTGTTGTTGTTAAATAGCCTGTTTTCTTCCCTTTTATCATTACATTTGTGGCCCATAAGTCAAGTCTGGCATATTTTGGCTCATAATGTTTGGAGATAGATATAAGGGCAAGCATTCTATTCACCTCGAAAACCCCAAAGTCCTTTCTAGAATCTCCACAGTAGTCTCCATATAGCTCTTTGTCCTTTACTTAAACCTGTCTTCTTTCCTTAGAGGTATTTGCATTTGGGATGGATAAAACAGTATTCAATTTTGTTGACCTTGTTTTGCTTAATTACTTATACTGCACTGGTATTTTTCTTTGCTTCTTTTCACAGTACATGTTTAGCACTGCAACCACTTCATACACCAAATAAGCTTTTGTAGGATCCAGTGGGAACCTAGTCAACATTTCTAAAATTTTTTTTTGACAAAATGTGTTTAAGTTTTCAAAAAACAAAATATGAAGACAAATTCTAGAATTCAACTTTCTGGTAACTTGCAGTCTCACATAATTGTATTTTGTCTTTGTTGATTTGTTTATTCCAAAAGTGTAGAATAATGTTACATGTATATATTTCAAATGATTTAAACATATGTTTTATATTTGTGCTGGACCTGAAAGTATATCATTAAAGTAGTAGAAATTCACAGTTAAAGAAACATCAATGCAGTATAATTTATAAGTCCTGTAAAATCATCGATAACTTTTTTTATTTACTAACCTGGAGTTACATTGCATATCCAGATTTTCAGTTCTTATAATTTGCTAAAACTAGTTTTTAGAGCTTTAGATTCTATTGTAAGATTCCTTATGACTACTGGGGGATAGGAAGGATTCCACTTATTTAGGTAGATGGCTGTGTCATTACTTAAGATTGACTGATTGATTGATTTCATTTATTTAAAAAGTATGTATGTATGCATGTTTTTATGTATTTTTTTATTATTTTCGTAGTAAGCAGCTAGACCCTGAGAATACAACAGTCCATATTAGTATTATTTATGTAATATTGCTGGCTTTACATTCAGTGTTAGGAGTGTGACTAGTAATTAGCCTCAGTCTCAGCCTTCAAAGAATTTTCAGTATCTAGTATATAGTGACTTTCTGATGAATAATAATATGGTAAGATGAAGAGTAAGTACAGAATTGAGCACAAAGAACTATGAAAGCACCATGGATAGAGGCACTTAGGATGGGGGTTGGTTAGATACAGGTGATGGTTTAAGAAAGCTTTACAGAGGAGGTAATATTTCCAGAAGAACTGTGGGGTTAGAAGGATACACTTATTAACTGAAAGAGCATTATTGTAGCCTACAGGCATAAAAGAAAAGTTGAATTTAGACAACTCTGCTGTGATTCAACAGATATTTATTAATCACCTGCCATTTTCTAGGTACTAGGCTAAAAAGTGCTGATACCCAGTTAACATGATAGAGTTCCTCTCCTCAAAAGAGCTTCCAGATGAGTGGCAGATATAGTTAATTAAGAAAGTAATGTGACAAGTGCCAAAATAGGGGAAGAATAGGGTACAGCAAGATTACAGAGAATAGGCACTAACTATAAGTTTTCAAAACTAGTTTTCAGGTAAAGTGATTTTAAGGGTGAGGGCCTGTTATGAGAAAGGAGGGTTGTTTCATGCACAAGAAATAGCATATGCAAAGATACTGAAGATAGACGGTAGCCTATTCAGGGAATCACTAGCAGTTTTAGTATGGCTGGAACTTAAATTCAAAGTGCTTTTTTTATTTGCGTTTGGTTTTGGCTGTTATTTCCATGTGCCTCATTTGAGGAGAGGGCTGATAAGAGATGAGGTAAGCAGATATTACATTATGAATAATATCTTAAGTTGTATTCGGTGTGGTATAAATTCATTTATCTATCCATGTTTTGATTACTTCTAAATACTTCAGGGTATATTTCCTAAAAATAAGAATATTGAGTTTAATTTGTGTTGAGGGTAGTGGAGAACCACTGAAACGTTTAAACAGAATGGTGACATGTATTGAGGGAGTCATGGGAAATTAGGGTAAACTGTGAAGAAACCAACAATTTAGATTTAATTCTGTAGGTGAGGGCACTCATTAAGAAGTCTGAGCTACTCAGATGGAATTGGAGAATCTGGGTATTGTGTGAGGTGATAGTTGAAGTTACTTGAATGGAAGACATTGAATAGGCACAGAGTTTAGAGATTAAAGAAGAGGACTTGGTAATACAACTATCAAAAACATTTTGAGAAGGGGCGGTAAAGGAGGTAAGAGGAAAAGCAGGAGAAGAATAACTGTATCATGACACACAAGGGGAGGAAAGAGTTTTAAAAAGTGGACAGTCAGAAGTGTCACTTTAGGAAATAGGGTAGAATGAAGCTAACAGAACGTAGAAATCCAGAATTCATGAATGGGATCAGTCTTAGTGCATGGTGAAGCCCCAAATCAAAATGTGATCAATTGAGGCATAAATGAGAGATAAGGAAATTCACATAGGGAGGGCAAAATGCTCTTCCAAGTAATCTGTTGGTTAACAGTACAAGGAGGAAGGATTTGAGAATGAGGCAAGGTTGAAGGAACATTTTTTTAGTCTAAAGATGATATAGCATTTTGTAGATGGGGGAATAAAGGAGGCTAGAGAAGGAAAATGAAATCGATGAGAATTGGAGATTGATCATTCATGGATATATCCCTGGACAGAAAGAGAGGGCCGATAGAGACACAGAGTAAGGATTAGCCATTAAGAGGATTAGCCATTGACTCTGTTGTTCAAGGAAGATAGGCTGGGAGAAGTTGTAAGAATAGAGGAAGTCTAGAGCACACAAGCCAGATGAATTCCATTTTCTCCATGAAATTTGAGAATTTTATACCAAAAGTGAGAAGGGAGGCAAGAGGGACCTGTAGAAGAGAAATAAGATTTGGGGTTAATGACTGTGACAAATCAGAAAGGGAGCCACCTAGAGATGAGGAAGAAATTCCACTAAAATAGCAGTGTAAAATGAAACACACTAGACTGGAAATGAGAGTATCCATGAAGGAAATTATTGTTATTCTTTTTCTCTGCTTTCATAGTCTTCTACCTTTATAATGAGACAATACCTGTCATTTTTACTTTTCTGGATGAGTCATATTTTTTTCCAATTAAATTTCTTGCTTATTTTTAATTGTTCCTTGTGCACATGATTATAATAGCAGGTCTTTTGATGTGAAAATTGCACTAAATTTAGGAGTCACAAGACTTAAGCTCTGGCTTTGTCCCTTACAGGCCTCAGCAATACCCTATAAACTTTTCTGAGTCTGTATCCTTAATTTGATAAGATGTGTATAATATCTTCCTGCCTGTCTCACGGGTGGCAAGAATCTACATTCAAATGAGCTAATTTAAAAGACCTTAGTAAATTACTAAGTACTGTATAATTGGTAGTATTAGTCATAGTACAATTTGCATTTGATGAGGATTTCTACCAAATTTCTCCTTGTTTCTTTGCACATTGTGGTCTATGATAATTAGCCGTTATACATGTCGGATTTAGCTTTTCCAAAGATTACATTTCTTGCATTTTATTTAACATTTTTCTGTGTACCCTCTAGTCTTCATTAATATTTTTTAATTGGCTGACATAATATACTAGAGCTTTACTCTAAACAGTTTACTCCAAATTCAGAATAATATTAGGCCATATTAAATTTCAGTGATATGTTTTGGGCTTTTTTTTTAAGAACACCAAAAAATTAAACGTACAAGCTTCATGCTATTCTGTATAACCACATAACCATGTAAGGTTTTAGGCATTGGATGTGCCATCTTGTTATAATGAGAATCCAATAAGGAACTCAGAAAATTAAAATGCATTTAGAAGGAAGAACTTTAAATTTAAGGCAAAAAGTAAGTGATGTTACTTATATTAATTCCCATAACTGGATAGAACACTCTTATAAAGATTTTTCTTTCTTTAGGATTCTGTTGCAAAGCCCCATGTGATTGTAGCAGGAGCTGCCACAGTAAGTTATTATGCGTATTCTTGCATACGGATTTTTGTTTCATTCTTAAGGACACGCTGAGGAAAAGTTAACTTATGTTAAATAGAATTCTTGATTGTACCTATATTTCAATTACTATTTCTATTATAATTAATGAGGCTGATTTATTTTAATGAAACAATTTGAATAAATTTAGTAAACTTGGTGTTAAATGTCAATATTATTTTATTTATAAAATTACATTCTTCTTGAATGTCATACATTGAGTGTCTAATGTTATATCAGCTTTTTTTAATTGCGTTCATAGATTTCATGAAATAATTTGATGAAATTTTACTCTAATGTTGAATAAAAGTGGAGATTATCTTAAAATAATAACTTTTGTTACAATAGAGCAAGTTATAATTTTTCTGTGATAAATGCTGAATTAATGCTTATTTTTTATTTCTTAGTGGTCTATCAAGATTCACAATGGTAGCAACGAAGCTCTTTCCCAATATAAAATGAACATTACCTCCATAGCACCACTTTTAGAAAAACTGGCAAAGACTAGTGATGTTTATTGGGTCTTACAAGGTAAGGAATGAACAAATGAGTAATGAACAAATGTCATTATGTATATATTTTGAAGCATGGGTTTTTATTGTCTCCTGTTTCAAGAAGCAGAATTACTCCTTTATGAGGATAAATCTTGAAATAAGGTTTGCGAAATTAGAATAAATTTGAGTTATTTGCTTTCCTTTTTTGAACTTAAGGAAGAGATAAACTAATAAATATAATAAGTGAAAATAAATAATAAATAAACACAAATATCCTTTAAGGAGCCTCAGCATACAAAATGGCTGCAGCATATAACAAAAAGAATAAGTTCTCAAAGATAAATGAGAACCTGATTTTTCTCAAAGATAAATGAGAACCCCTGATTTTTATTTCTTACAAAGTATATTTATGGTGATTGGGAAATACAGAAAAAAATTATTAAGTCTGTTTCATAATATTAGAGTCATTGGAAGCAAATAAATTCTGGAATTGACAGAATGTATTTAAATTCATACCATGTAGTTTATACTTGGTAATGAAATTCTTTAAGAGAAAGTTGACATTAGATCAAGTCATTTCAGGAGTTTATTGAATGTCCATTATTTAATGTCTAGCACTATATGAAATTGCCTTGGATATTTTAGCAATTCAACTGGCTTGTCAGAAACTCTTACAATTATTTCCAAATTGAATGTCAAGTTAAACGGAACAGCAAGAGTAGTGATAATCTATTCTGCAATCTATATTATTTACAAACTCATTGTTAACCTTTCTTTTACTAAAATGAGAAAAAAATTATTTATGGTAAGTGATAAGGGACTTTGATCCTCAATAATATTACCTTACAATTGTATGAGCAAAGCAGTGGCAGGAAAAATAAAGATTGACTGTTACTCTTAATTAGGCAGTCTTCCCCAATCCAGTTTTATTTATTTTTTTAAATGTTTGTTGATTTATTTTGAGAGAGAGAGAGAGCATGCGACCAGGGGAGGGGCAGAGAGAGAGGGAGAGAGAATCCTAAGCAGGCTCCATGCTGTGAGCGCGGAACCTGACGTGGAGCCTGACACAGAGCTTGATCTCAGGGATCCATGAAATCATGACCTGAGCTGAAATCAAGAGCTGAACATTCAGCCAGTCGAGCCACCCAGGCACCCCATTCCCCGGTCTGGTTTTCAATTCCCATTGCCCAGTGGTACTCAGTATCCCCAAATTTTAAACTCCTAAGATATGCTAGAACATAAAAATATTTCCTGAAAGCTGTGTACTAAGATAAGAGAGGGATAAAAGTTCTTTAGATTTAAAAGAGATATCGATTGATTCAAAGTATCTGAACTTTCACAACAGAGTATGAAGTACAATCAGTGAACTTGCATGATCACTAATTCTATCAGTAGGGATTTTTTAAATGTGTTTTTAAAAATATGTGTTTTGTGTACAGATCCTGTTTATGAAGATCTATTAAGTGAAAATAGGAAAATGATCACTAATGAGAAGATAGATGCCTACAATGAAGCTGCAGTCAGCATTTTGAATAGTAGCACCAGAAATTCTAAATCAAATGTTAAGATGTTCAGTGTTTCTAAATTAATTGCTCAAGAAACCATCACAGAGTCTTTGGATGGCTTACATCTTCCTGAATCAAGCAGAGAAACTGTAAGGATTCTTGTATCTATCAGGAGATAGAAACTACAATATCTTATTAGTTTTAGCTATAAGTCACAATAATATGGTAACAAACAACTTATTTTATTACAGTCTTAATTACTTGTAGTTATTCTATCTAAACATGCACGTAGAACTAATTTTGCTTTTATACAAGTGAGAGTTTTAGTAAAAGAAGAAAAGAAGTTATGGGAGGGAGGAAATGAAACTTCATTTATTGAGTGCTCCTAACTCTTAATATACCTTGTCTCCTAAGCTTATAAGTTCTCACCACACTCCTGTTTAAAAACTACTGTATTATGTTCTCTTTGCCTTAAAAACCTTAAATGTGTAAGATCAAGCTTCTGTGAAGAGCACCTTTTTAAAACATGTAGCATAATTTTTATTATTCTCTTCCCGTTATTTTACCCTAAGTTTTATACAGGCTACATAGTAGTTACTGAACAAATCCAGACAGATGGAAATAGGTTAAATAAGAAAGAGAACCGCATGGTTATAAATTGTCACATACAGTGCAGCAGATATTATTTAGTTATTGTTTTCTTATAAAGGAGTGATTCTTAATCTTCTTGAGAATCACATAACCCCTTTGAGTATTCTGTAAAAAGGAATGATTCTGTTCCAGTCTTGCAGAAATGCGTGTTTGTGTGTGTATATGCATACACACTGGTTAAGACTGGTTAAGACCCCCTGGAACTGGTTAAGACCCCCTGGAACTGGTTAAGAACCTTGGGTTGGAGTTTGTAAGCTAGTATCTTCAAGATTGCCAGGTACAGAACTTCCTGAAGTTGCAGGGCTAAAAGTATGAGATTTTCTAAATAGTTGAGTATTTTGAACGTTTAGGCTTAAAAAATATAATCATCTTAGAGTTCCAAAATTGCCTAAACTATAAAATTTTTATAGAACTAGACTTGATTGAACTTTCAACTAGGCAGAATCTTGGCAGCTTATCTAGGAGATTTGTGCTATAATAAAACCATGTTGAAGATTCCACATTTTATTTAACATTAGAAATCTTAAAACTTTATAATTCTAAGTGCGCATAAATGATAAACCAAATGAAAAGCATATTACAAATGTTAGCTAAGAATTAATGATTTTTCGGTGGCAGTAATTTTACATCTTTTTTTACATCTAAAGACTGGCACTCTATCTTAAGTATCCTGCGAGTCTGCTAACTAAAATTCTTTGGGCTTTGACATCTGTCAGTATTTGTTTTACCAAAGGTCATGGCCCAATAGCCATGAAATCAGTGTTTTATTTTTTTAAGAATAGAATAGAAAAATGTCAGAGTGCATTCTAGATAGTAAGGATAGATATTGTTTCCTGTGGATGTGTTCTGGGTCACATTATAAAATGAATGTTTCATTATGGATCATAGTCCAAGAAGTTTGAAAAACCCTGAACTGGCTATTACAGATTAAGGAATACCATTATTTGCATGAGTGTTTGGGAAATGGTAGCAAAAAGTACAAAGGCATTTTAGTTTCGGTGCTGAAAAGTCAGTAATATTCACAAGAGAAAATCTAATGCAAGATACATTACTGACAAGATAATAACCAAATAACTTGATTTGTTCACAGAGTGCAATGATTCTTATGAACGTGTATTGCAATAAGATTTTGAAGCCTGTAGATGGTTCCTGTTGTCAACCTCGGCCTCCTCTTACCCTCATACAGAAGCTAGCTGCTTGTTTTTTTACTTTATCTATTATTGGATATTTAATTTTTTATATAATTCATCGTAACACTCATCGGAAGAATAAGCCATGTACTGATTTGGAAAGTGGAGAGGAAAAGAAAAATATTATCAATACCTCTGTGTCTCCTTTAGAAGTACTTTTACAGTCTTTCTGCAAACTTGGCCTGATAATGGCTTATTTCTATATGTGTGACCGTGCAAATCTATTTATGAAGGAAAACAAATTTTATACACATTCAACTTTCTTTATTCCAATTATCTACATCTTGGTTTTGGGAGTATTTTACAATGAAAATACTAAGGAGGTAAGAGTCATTTTCTTTTTAGCTCATGTTAACTCTTTCAACTCATTGTAAACTCTAGATTAAAGAAATAATAATCATATATCATGCCAGAATATTCAAACACATATATAGAAGAGGACAAAAGGATAGTGTGGTTGTACTTTGCCTGGTGGACTCTTAACAGTTGCTTTTTTTGAAACAGTTTGGAAGAAATTCAGAGTCACTTAAAGATTGTTGAAAAAATTGGTGAATAAGGATCTGTGAAAAAGATGTCATGACTTAGTGTTATTTTGCCTGTTTGGGGATAGGGAAAGTGGAGGTGTTCCCAATTTTATAATGGTCTACAAACATGAGATACTATTATCTTATGTAAAGTTTTTAAAAAGTAACTAAAAAATATAATTAACAAATGCCTATATGCACATTTTATATTTATATAGCTATACAGACATGTATACACACAAATTAGAATTTATGTAATAATGTGGGCACTGCTTATAATAGTCTGAATTTCCTGTTTTCAAATTGTTGTAATTGCTCAGAATATTAGCGTAACTTCTTTTTAAGGCATGATTTATTTCAATTAATAAACTTTCTTATAAGAAGTAACTTTCATATGAGGATGACTAATCAGTTTTTTCATCTCCTTGGGAAAATAAACTATAATAATGGACCATTTTTTCACAGTAAAGTATAAGAGAACTGTAAGATCTTTTCTAGCTGAAACTCCTAAGATTTTTTTAAAGAAAATTATACAATGCCATTTTTTAGACTAACAAACACATCTGTCAAACTTTAAATGTAATCTTCATATAAAACCATGAGTAGCAACTTAAATATATAAAATCTCCTTTAGTTTATATTAGTTCTCCAATTCATATTATATTGAAATAGTTTCATTATATCTCTTATCAAATAAAATGACAATCTTTAATTGTTTGTTTTTCTCCAAAGTTCTTTTAACAGAAGCATTAGCTTTATGTCCTATAAGAAAAATGTACTTAATAATACCTTCATAATGAATTGTAAAACAGACTGGTTCTTTTCCACAGACTAAAGTGTTAAATAGAGAACAAACAGATGAATGGAAAGGCTGGATGCAACTTGTGATTCTGATTTATCATATCTCTGGAGCAAGTACAGTAAGTATTTTGAATTTAACTTCAGAAAATATAGGAAACAGTGGCACTTTAATGTTTCTTTAAGGGCACCACCTCTTTTGTGTTTTATATTCTTGACCGTTTAGAGACCCATTTTATTTTCTACCCAACCTTTATGCCTTCCCATTCTTCTCCTACCACCTGACTCTTTGAGAATGTATAGTCTTAAGGCAATAATTTATTAGTAATACCTGGCCTTAATTTTAATTGAGTAGAAACAGCTGATAACCTAAGGGTATTAATTCATGCCACCCTGTTGGACAGCTAATTTAAACTTAGGAGGAAACAATGTAGATGACACTTAATTGCAAAAGATTTCAAATAGACAAGTTACTATCAAAAGAAATCAAATTAGATGACTATATTTATATTCTACCCTTACTTGTATTTTATATTGTTACACTTATAGAGTTTAAAAACCTTAGAACTCTTTTCCTCCATTATTCAAAGAACTCAGGTACTAATGGACTACCATTGTACCATTGATGTGCTGTACCTGGACAAAATCATTTTTTCCTTCTCCATAGTTGTCTTAAAAGATAGGATTCTCATGGTCTCAGGACACCCTGGATTTGACAGGAGTAAAAAAAAAACAACAAAAACAAAAAAACGTATTCCGAGTTGTAACATTCCAGCTACGTTGCAATTAAAGCAGACTTTGGAGGGCGAACCTACATCTAATAACTACTTTTCACGCAAGTTTTATAGTGAAGGTACAAACCGATTTCTATAAAATAATTTGCTTTAAAACAATTATGGAACTACTGAACTGTTTTTTATTGTTTTGTTTACACAAAGCACACATCTGTAAATAGTATTTGAATTGGTGATAAATTGAGATAAATTGAGATAAGAATTTTGTCCACACAGAAGTATTTTGAAATTTCCAAAGTAACAGTTAAGAAAACAAAAAATACTGAGGTTTTCTTCAGATATCTCCAACAATTTGAAAATAATATTATTCTTCATTGAATCTTTTCGTTATTTTCAAAAATTGTCCATGATTTTATGGATGGTTTGTTTGAAGGGCAGAAGATAAAGGAATGAAGTATAATTTTTACTGAAATTGTATGGCTATGATGTGTATATTTGTGGCAGCAGTGAAATTCCTGTCGCGCTGCAACTGAAGGGGACCTAGTGAGTTCAAGTTGGTACAGAAGATTGAAGACAGTAAAAGAAATCCGAGGCAAGGGGAGATGAGGATAGTAAGACTGTTTGTAAGCCCAGCTCAGAATTTGGAGGATAGATTTGTCAGATTCTCTAAAAAGTCAGTAGAGATGAATATTGAATCCTAGAAATACCCCTGACATATGAATAAAGATTAGATTAATTTGAGAAGGAAAAAAGTCTTTTGTTTTAAGAAAATGCCACTTAGAGACATAATTTATTGCTGACATATTAAAGGGTGATACTCCTATTTTAAAAAAATCAGATAGAAAGAATTAATGGCAGATTAAGTTCCTCAATTCAGTGATTCCAGAAAGAATTTGGATCATAAAAGGATGAAGGTAATTTGGCATTCTGTTATAATCATTTGCCAAGCTAGCATTCTAATTCTAATATATCTTAGACTACATCCCAATATATCCTAAATTACAGTTTTTAAAAATCTCTGTTCTGAAAGGACATACTTTTCATTAACAGACCATTTGTTATGATTAATTAACATATTCCTGTTCTTTTATATAATAGGATTTTGTGGTTAAAAATTACCTGTGTCTACATTAGCAAAGCATAATTAGCATGGGTTATAACATATTTTGGGACCTGATTCTTGGATATTTGAGGGATTACCCTCATTAAAAACCTTTTTTAACTGCCATGGTTATTTTAATTACATAATCTTAATGTTTTTTATTTTGAGTAAAATATGTTAAAATATGTCAAACTTTAGTTGTGCCATGTTTTTATACTAAAATAGAAACCATAAAAAAATACAGAGAATTCTTAAAATAATCCAGATGGTCTAGCAGATTGCAATTGTTGGTATAAACATTCTTTTAAAACATAATTTATAGGAAATAGGGATAAAACACTGTGAATTTAATATGGAGAGTACAGCGAGTTAGGTCTATACAGTAGATGATTTTGTGTTCCACTGTGGGTTTTTTTTCCTTTGGGAGTTCGTAAGTAACTTTCATGAAAGGATCTGAATAAAAGATCTTGAGGGAAAATTTGTGGGACTAGAAAAAGAACAGAATCTGAAGCCAGCCTAGCTATTAATTGTAATGCAGTTAAAATTCCAAACATATTTTAATATTAAAATTTTGTTGTAGTACTTGACTCATGAAAGATAAAAAGAAAAATAATTTGGATTAAAGGAGACAGAAGAGAAACGACAACGAAGTGCACTGTATGATACTTGATCCAAGATTCCTAAAAAAAAATTGTTTTTAAATTTTTTTTACTGGCACAGTCAGGGATATTTGAATGTAAATTTTACAATAGATGTAAATTTTTTTACATAGAGGATGTTACTGGCACAGTCAGGGATATTTGAATGTAAATTTTACAATAGATACTGTTATAGTAATACTAAATCTTGGGTTATTAAAATGATATATGATTATGTAAGAAACTATTTTATCTTCTTAGAAGATACTTGCTAATATATTTAGGAACGATGTAGTCTGCAGCACTCTTTAAAATGGGTCAGCATGGTATATGGATATCCATTGTATTATTCTTACAACTTTTTTGTCGGCTTAAAATGCATTAAAATAAAAACTTGGGAGAAGTATTACATGAAATTTTCAATAATCCAACATTGGCAGGTACTTGGCAGATTGCTGTGATAGTGTTTAGTTTAAATGAATAGTATTTACTTTTTGAATGTAATAACCAAGTCCGAAGTTTGTAGGCCCAGCCCGTCTTGAGGGGATTTCAAAGCATGTTTGTGGACAGTGATTAAAGTGATTGGGAATAGTTAGCCTAGGTTTGACAACTATTTTCAGATACTTGTAGAACAATCAGATACAAGAATCAGTGTATGCAAAAGGCTCTAAGGCTAGACTCTCCATTATGGAAGCCGCTAGACACATGTGGCTGTTGAGCACTTGAAATATAGCTAGTTGGAACTGAGATGTGCTGTGAATGTGAAATACATACCAGTTAAGTATGATTAATTGTGATAAATGCATACTAAGTTCAAAAATTTAGCCTAAAACATATAAAATATCTTATTACATGCTCATTACATATTAGAATGAAAGTATTTTGTATATATTCAATTAAATACATTGTATTTATTAAAATTAGTTTCACTTGATTCTTTGAGCTTTTTAAATATTCTGGTAGCCATATTAAAAGTGTACTATGTGACTTGCATTTTATTTCTATTGCATAGCATTGCCCTAGAAGACTGAAGTTGGTAGTTTTTACATAGAGTTAGATTTCAACTTTTCTTGAAAAGGAACTTTATGGTAGTAAATGGCCATCTGAAAATGAATGGATTGCCTTGGGAATTTGTACATATTCTGCTGTTCAAAGTGTTCAGATACTTGAAGGGAATATTTTAGAGTGGTTTCAAGAATGAGGTAACAGGCTTAGATAAATCCTGAGGTTATTTTAATACATTTCCTACCATCATCACTGTGATTCTAGTAGCTTACACCTTCATCTAAAATTTCTGATGTAACGATAAGACATTTAAAAAGAACTAATGATGAAGGGCAATAAATAAAAACCCTGTTTGATATATAGATGTCAGTGCTGTAAGAACTCTGAGGAAGGAAAAATGACTTTCATCTGAGAGTGAAGATAGGAAATTTTTGAACAGGGCTCTAAAGAAGAATAAGATTTGAATAAGCAAAATATGGTCACAAGAAGAATATTCCAGGGTAGAATAAACAGATAAACAAAGGAAAGGTGACAGGGAGGCACAAGAATCACTCTAGGAGACAGAGAACCCTAACAGTTTGGCTAGAGTAGAAAGGGTATTGAAGAGTTTATGACCTATTATAAATTCAGGGCTTTTTGCCTTCTCAGAAAAGAAAAAGATGTGCTCAAGGGTGCATTCAAGGATATATACAAAAGATGCATACATTGGAGGACTCATAAAATCTATTTAAGATGTCTACTTATTTTATTTTTTCCTACAAGGTATCACTTGGAAAACATACATTAACCAGAAGTGGCCATAAGTTTGTCAATGCTGGATAATCACAGAGTGATCAGATGCATCTATAAAATAGGAGCCAAAAAATGTTTACATAAATTTAGTAATTATCCCTAAAAGAATAATCTTATAATTGCAAGGGTTGGATGTCACTGAACAAGCCTTTTAAAGATCATTTCAAGGGGTGCCTGGGTGTCTCAGTCAGTTAAGCATCTGACTCTTGGTTTCAGCGCAGGCCATGATCTCGTGGTTCCATGAATTGAAGCCCCACATCGGGCTCTGCACTGACAGTGCAAAGCTTGCTTGGGATTCTCTCTCTCTCTCTCTCTCTCTCTCTCTCTCTCTGCCGCTCCCCCACTCACTGTGGCTCTCTCAAAAATGAATTTAAAAAATAAAAATAAATTTAAAAAAAGATTATTTCAAAACCAGTGCACTAATTGTGTTGTGGAGATCATGATCACACACGTAAAGGAGTGGTGGCTGATAGGATGAATGACAGCATTATAGGGTTATGAGAATTAGGAGTTATAAATGAGATATTTCCAGTGATTCCCATAAAATATAGATCAGAAATGTGTTACATTTCATTTAATTTAGAAGTGAAGATAGGAGGGGTACCTGGGTGGCTCAGTCGGTTAAGCATCCGACTTTGGCTCAGGTCATGGTTTCGCGGTCCATGAGTTCGAGCCCCGCGTCAGGCTCTGTGCTGACAGCTCAGAGCCTGGAGCCTGTTTCAGATTCTGTGTCTCCCTGTCTCTCTGACCCTCCCCTGTTCATGATCTCTCTCTCTCTCTGTCTCAAAAATAAATAAATGTTAAAAAAAGAAGTGAAGATAGGATGCTCTGAAAAACCATGGTAAATTATTCTAAGCATCTTGGTCATGATGTAACATTGATGTAGGAGAGTAAAATAAAATTGTTTTAGAAATTAAGAGTTGGGAGCACTTAGGTGACTCAGTCGGTTAAGTGTCTGATAGTTGCATCTCATAGTTTAAATTATCTTGGCTCAAATCATAATCTCACAGTTCGTGAGATGGAGCCCTCACATCAGGCTCTGCATTGACACAATGGAGACTATCTGGGATTCTCTCTCTCCCTCTGTCTCTCTGCCCCTCCCCTGCTGGTTCGTTCGTTCATTCTCTTTCTCCCTCTCTCTCAAAGTAAATAAATAAACTTAAAAAATTAAGAATGGGAGGGATTATGAAGATAAAAATCTTCTGCACAGCAAAGGAAACAACCAACAAAACTAAAAGACAACCAACGGAATGGGAAAAGATATTTGCAAATGACATATCGGACAGCTTGGGGTATCCAAAAATCTATAAAGAGCTCACCAAACTCCACACCTGAAAAACAAATAACCCAGTGAAGAAATGGGCAGAAAACATGAATAGACACATCTCTAAAGAAGACGTCTGGATGGCCAACAGGCACATGAAAAGATGCTCAGCGTCGCTCCTCATCAGGGAAGTACAAATCAAAACCACACCCAGATATCATCTCACGCCAGTCAGAGTGGCCAAAATGAACAAATCAGGAGACTATACATGCTGGAGAGGATGTGGAGAAACGGGAACCCTCTTGCACTGTTGGTGGGAATGCAAATTGATGCAGCCACTCTGGAAAACAGGTGGAGGGGGTTCCTCAAAAATTAATAATAGACTCCACCTATGACCCAGCAATAGCACTGTTAGGAATTTAACAAGGGATACAGGAGTACTGATGCATAGGGCAATCTGAAAATCGTTTATAGCAGCACTCTCAACAATAGCCAAATTATGGAAAGAGCCTAAATGTCCATCAACTGATGAATGGATAAAGAAATTGTGGTTTATATACACAATGGAGTACTACGTGGCAATGAGAAAGAATGAAATATGGCCCTTTGTAGCAATGTGGATGGAACTAGAGCGTGTGATGCTAAGTGAAATAAGCCATACAGAGAAAGACAGATACCATATGCGTTCACTCTTATGTGGATCCTGAGAAACTTAACAGAAACCCATGGGGGAGGGAAGGAAAAAAAAAAGAGGTTAGAATGGAAGAGAGCCAAAGCATAAGAGACTCTTAAAAAGTGAGAACAAACTGAGGGTTGATGGGGGGTGGGAGGGAGGGGGGAGGGTGGGTGATGATTGAGGAGGGCACCTTTTGGGATGAGCACTGGGTGTTGTATGGAAACCAATTTGACAATAAACTTCATATATTGAAAAAAAAAAAAGAATGGGAGGGAAATAATATTTCTAAATTATGTTTGCATATATTTTAATATACATTTTTTGCTAAATAATTAAATAAGTAGTTACACAACAATTTACAAATCTAAATTCCATGTTTTTAAGGGGGCCAAAAATGTGGCATTTTGTTTTTTGGTTTTTTTTGTCTTCTCACTGGGAAAATGTGAAATCCAGAGTCACCTCGTATTCAGCATATCTGATGATTAATAACTATGGATATCTTATATTTAATTCTAAGTGGAGGAAATACACAAAGTGTTTCCCATTTATTAACTCCTGCGTTCCTCATAAGAACCTTGTTATTCTGCATTTTAGAAAACTCGGACTTAAAGTCCCATAGCTGGTAAGGGGCAGAACCAGAATTTGAATCGGGTCTGATTCTGAAGTCTACATTTTTTTAATGCTTGCTCTGTGTTGCCTAACTTTTGAACATAAATGTTTTTATTGAGCTTATACCAACTGGTAACGATGATCCATTGCCTTGATTAAATATACTGGTTATGATGTTTCAAAGTATAGTTAGTGCCAACATATTTTACCTATTTATTTTTTGTCAACAGTTTTTGCCTGTGTACATGCACATCCGGGTTCTGGTTGCTGCATACCTATTTCAGACAGGGTATGGGCATTTCTCATACTTTTGGATCAAAGGAGACTTTGGAATTCATAGAGTCTGTCAGGTAGGGATGATTTCAGTTCTTCTTCTTTCATTTTGACATAAAAATATGAATATGGTCATTATAAGGCCACAAATAATTTGAATATGACATTGCACTTTAAAGTTATGTTATTTCTGTGTTCTGTGGTTAATAATTCGAGATAAATATTTTATTACTGAGGGAAGGGAAAATGTAATTTAAGTGAATGTCTAATAAAAGGACCAGTACTCAAGGGACGGCACTGCTAATTCACTTCAGTTTTATAGAAATGTACAGTTACCTGGAATTATTATAATACACTATGTTTTCTTTAAGAAGAGGATTAATATTTATTAAGTTTCCACCTTGTGCTGGACACTTCCTGAACATTATTTATCCCTCATTACAACCCTGATTTGTGATCTTCATGTTTACAGAAAGGACACTGAGGCTCAGAGAGGTTAAATAATTTGCCTATGGTCAGATAGTAAGTGGTACAACTCTAATATCAATCTGCTTAAACTCTGTGTTCTTTGAGTGACATCACACTGTCTGACATGACTGTTAACAGAGGTCCCAAAGTCACTTTTTAATTTGAGTAATATTATTTTGTATCTATGACAACTCTCAACTTAATCCTAAATGGGGTAAATCAACATCAAACAGATGAAATAGACACCCTTTTGTTGAGGTAATCTAATCTCTGCTTATAAACCATAGCCTTAGGAAGGAGACTTATGATTCTCTCCCTACATTTAGCAAGATGACAGTTGCAGCCAGAGGACAGCTCAGGTTGGTGTTTTACTTGGATTTAGTTAATATAATGATGCATAAATATTTTATATTGAACTCTTTACAGTGATTGTAGAACAAATGTAATTTTAAGGATTAGTAAAATATACTTGCAGTTATTACTTTGGTCTTAAATAAACGTTTGTACTCTGTCAGAGAGAATCTGTCTTTGCTCTTCCTGCATACCTGGAATGAAAACCATTTTCTTCTCCTTTTTACTAGGTCTTATTTCGTCTCAATTTCCTGGTAGTGGTGTTATGTATAGTAATGGATCGGCCTTATCAATTCTATTACTTTGTCCCCTTGGTCACTGTATGGTTCATGGTCATATATGTTACTTTAGCACTATGGCCACAAATAATCCAAAAAAAAGCAAACGGTAAATATACTCTCTTACTGTTAATAAATATATACTTTTCATGTACAAAATTTATTCCTCATTGTTAAAGGCTATTTTTTATTGAGACATAGTTTAAATTTATGTGTAGTTTTGATATTTGAAACTTTGTTCTTAAACTATGTTTCCAAAATGGTACAGCTAAATAATTCAAGTAATATAACAGTGCAGATTAATAGTTTGCATGTCTATTGTATGTATGTGTTTTTTTTAATCTAAATTTTTCAAAGTCGTTTTACACATCAGCTGACGCAGCATTTGTCAGACTGTCCTGTACAGAGCCCGAGTGAAGACCACTGGAGGAGAGGAGAGCAATCCAATGGGGCTCCAGGCCCTTATAGCCTTCTCTCGTCTTTGGCAGCTCTGCTTTATATATTTTACATGTATTGAGATTTTTGGATAAACATTCACTTACAAAAAGGCTTTTTATGTCAGCCAGGTCTAAAGGGCACTAATATAATTTACCCTCTAGACAACTCTTTACACACTTACTGTCAGCCTGTTGTGCATATAAAGAAACCTGAGCGTCCAGAAGGTCATCACCTTCAAACTCCACATAGCCAGTTACTGGTCATATTCAAAGTGAGGCCACATTCATTTCTCTTCATGCTTTTTCCCCCTGAAGATCATATCATTGAAATAAAAGCTTTCCTTTTTTGGAAAAATTAAAAATTGTTGTTTTTAGTAATTTTTAACTTAACTCTTTCAATCAAATATTATATATCAAAAATATCTTCCACTGACTTCCATTATAATGTCAAATAACTTTTTCAGGAAAGAGTTGAGTTCCAGCCTTTAATCAAGTCCATTAATATCGTTGAATAGCCTTTGTACCTTAATCCCTCGACACAAACCTAACATATTAAATTAAATCAATATATATAAACTATGAACACGTAACTTAAAATATGCATACGTTAAAATACATTTTAAAGTTAAACCTTAGTACATTCGGGAGTTCTTAAGCTCTTTCCTTGAAACTTTAATGTTTAAGCAGTGTTACCTAAGCTATATTCAACAGGAATGTTTGTTAGAATTACATTGAACATATTGACATATTTTTCCAAATTTTGTTGTAACTTTGAATAGTAAATGGGTATAATTGAATCCAGGAGATATTTTCAGATATATATATCGTGGATGAACAGGAGATATGTAAGGTGTCAGGTGTGGGTTGTGGCCCCATTCCTAGTGAGGACGGTCCGTCTTTTCCTTTTTGCCCTTCTTACAGTTTATACCACTTACATATATTTTATGTATCCTATAGGCAGCCTTTGATTATTGTAAGGACTGTGCAGAGTATTAATACATTAAACAGAGACTATTTAATATGTTTTTTATGTAAACTTATACTTTTTAGTAAATTAAATGTTTTCTCTCTTAGGAAATTGTTTCTGGCATTTTGGCTTACTGTTGAAACTAGCCTTCTTGCTGTTATGTATATGTTTTTTGGCATATTCTCAGGTTTGTACAGTCTTTTCAGTTTATATTTTGTTCTGTTTTATTTTAAAGTTCAAGTCAAAGTACGTAAGAAGAGTCAGAGCTTTTTTTTAGCTTCATTTTTTAATGACTGTAATAAAAGTGTCACTCTGTAGTTGACTACTCAGTGTAGTTCTTTTGAGACCTATCTACTTTTGTTACCACTGTTTTTGTTGTAAGAGCAATTTAAAGCTCTTCCTCTGGCAATTGTTCAAAATCCATTTTACTTGACTTTGATCAATCAGACGTTTATTGAATGCCTCTTATAAGACACTACTCTAAGTGGAGATCAAAATTCTCTTGACAGAATTTGCAGCTTGGTTTGTGCATTATTCATTGCTTCAAAGTGTTACTTGTCTTTTCCATAACTGCATAGACTAAAATTTTGGCAGTTAGTAAAACCAACTCAGGAGCAAATGGGTTTGTATGTATGGAATATGTTTAATTTAATAAAATTTTTGGTCATTTTCTTACCTCTACCCTTTTATCCCCCTCTTATGATGGTTGAGATGTTTTCAGCTACTTTAGCAAGGTGACAAATTCCTACCTGCTGGTCAGTCCATCAGACAGACATTATTTGGGCAGTATGATCTTTATAACTAAATATTTTAATTTGAATGCCTGTAGTTGTGACTTATTCTGTAGTTGCTCCCATCTCCAACATTCCCTGTCTTGTACTTAGCTGTGTCAGGTGCAAATGCCATATAAGCATCGTGTGTGTGTGTGTGTGTGTGTGTGTGTGTGTGTGTGTGTGTGTGTGAGAGAGAGAGAGAGAGAGAGAGAGAGAGAAAGAAAGTGATCCTATCAAGCTGGTTTTTATTAGTTTGTTTTTGTAGGCTTTCATTCTTATTTTCATGCTTAGAAATAAAGCATTTTTATTTCTACCTGACCTGCAAGGTTTTTTGCAGGAGATTTATAAATAATAAGGAAACAATAGCAAACGTATGAAGAAATAGCCAGGTAACTGCAACAGCTACTTGACACTTATTCATTAAAATTCCAAACACTCTGTGGTGCATCTGAGGGAGACAAGGGAAGGTGAACCAGAGGTTCAATAAAGGTTTCCCCAGCTTTGGATTAGTGTACAAAAGAAAAAAGTACATGGCCCAGTATAGCCCAGTGTCTTTCACAAAATGGGTGCTCACTAAAAACTTTTCTGTTGATCACACAAATAAATTTTTAATCAGAAATAATATGTTAAGTGCTAAATACATATATATGATCTATAGGACCATGTATTTCTAATAGATACTAAATATTTCTATATTTTATTTTGATATTTATATTTCTGTACTTCATATCAATATTTATGATCTATAAGTACTCTATATTGCAACTTTTGGTAAGAATCCTCTATTTTCTGAGGCACAGATTTTGATAGGACCTCTGTTTAATAAGTTATAGGTATTTTAAATTCTTAAATGGTTAAATGGAGGATACTGTATTTTATTAAAATAATAACGTTCTTATAAAGATTTAGCATTACCTAAAATACAATGCTGTTTTCACTTTTTTGGTTTTTAATAGCCTTTTTAAAAATTGTTATGTTACATTTTCTATGCTGTGGCAGTAGGTCTAATAATGGAGCTTTCCTTCAAAAAGTTTGCCGTCCTTCTTTAGTCTGGGAATTGAGGTTTTGTTCTCTTCTTTGAAAGACTTCATTAATGTGCAGGAATGCACCCAAGACTTCTGCCCCTTCATTCCCAGATTTTCCAGGCTTGTCAGATTAATAAGAGAGTGCATTCACTAACTTGACCAGAGTAAAATTGTAAACTTTGTTTCAAAGGCTGGTAATGGCATTTGGGTATGGTTGATTAAGTAAGGTGACTAATTCAGAGGATTATTTTAATTCAGATGGTTGATTATGGATTATTAAGGACATTTAGAGAAGGAAAAACTGTATTTTAACTTTAACCATCATTCTTTAGGATATTGATATTATAATGGCTGAGGTCTTTTGTATTTTGATGTTTTGATCAGTAAATATTAGCTGCTTTATGTAATAGATTAAAAACCGTAAATGGAAGAATTTTCCAGTTACTAGCTTACTTTTTGTTTTAATTTTGCAGTCTCAGTAGCCTTTCATATGCAGTGAAAGTAAGTTAACAAAAAAGTTTTAAGTCGTCTTTATTAGCCGTCAGTAAAATAAATTTATTTTCAAATGAACGTCAAATGAAAGAATTTTTAAATTGTGAATGACTTTTTTATAATCCTAATAGAAAACTATAATTTAGAATAGAGTTAGAAAACAAGTATTGACTCATACCATCTTATTTTGTGTTCTGGATTCCTTTTCTCAGGGTGCATTTGAGAAGATCTTTTCTCTTTGGCCATTGTCCAAGTGTTTTGAACTGAAAGGGAATGTATATGAATGGTGGTTCAGATGGAGGTTAGACCGTTACGTATGTATTTACCTTGTGATCTTTTGCCATTTCAAATTAACGCTTTAAAAGAATTATTTGGAAAATTATAATTATTTTTATTTAGTTTTAGTGTAAGGAAGTATGTTGACTTGGTAAATTAAAGCAGCCCTCCTCCCATTTTTTTATACTGGAGAGAGGGTATGCATGTGTATATATATATATATATATATATATATATATATA